TGAAATCTTATCTTTATGAATTCTTTCCTCTGATAAAAACTGAAGAAACCCCATCTCCCACAATGAAACTTCCACATTCATTATCTAAAAACATAAATCAAAAGTCTGCAAAACCAGTTCTCTATAATATGTTTCAGTTTGGAAAGCCAAAAAACAATGACATAAAGCCAAGAAGACGTTCATCATCCTTTCAAAAACAAAACGCATGGACTAGAATTACTGTTACAACCTTTACACTAACAATGCAGTAATAAGATGAAACAGATTATGTCTGTGCATTGTGGTCATTTATTTAAACCGCGTCTATAAACAAGGCTTTGAGTGTTAAAGTTGTTGTTGCAAACTACAATCTTAAGAGAAATGATTTAAGTGCTCTTAGGAATGAAAAATCAAAAAAAGAGATCTACTTAATATCTCAGTGGTTTCTCCCAGATAAAAATGAGATCAGATGGAAAGACAAAGAAAGAATCTTGCCTAAAGAGGAATTCCACAGATTTTTCCAAATTTCTGCCTAATAAAATGATAAAGATCTAAACGATGTCATTCAGAGTGGTTTCATTTGAAATGTTCTAGAGAAACATAATGAATCAGAATTGCTCACAGTGGTGCAAATAAACACCAGACCTCCACACAGAAAGTCTTGAAATGGTTATGAGCATTATGTCTGTTTTCTGTTGCCTGAGACATTTTTCTTGTTTTGAGGTGTTTTGGCCTAAAACACACACACACACACACACACACACACACACACATATATATATATATATACCATGTTTAGATTTGAGTTGTAGACACTGACTCCTGTTTCTTATCACCAGCACTGTAAAGAAATCTGAGTCGGTAAGTTCCCAGAGATATACTTATATCTCAAGCACTAAATAATGCATACATTTCCAAAATCACCATGAAGTCTCCTGAAGTTATTGCTCAAACATCTGAGCAATGGAATTTTCCCCTGGGTGAACCCTCCTTAATGTGCCTTTATGCTTGCATGATATATGTACACAATACTGGTGACAGAATTCAGCTCAACATGCCTGGACTGGGTTGCATAAGTTTGAACTCAAGTTTGTACGTTAGTCTTTACTACGTCTTTAGTTAAAACTTTCCTTTTACCAAATTCAGTTGCATCACACATCCTTAAGTCATGTCTTGGCTAGTAATGACTAATGCAAATGTACTTTTACATGAGGAAAATGTTTAGAAATAATCTGTAAAACTGCTGCAATCAAAATGTGACAGCATTTTTCCATGAAAAAATATCCCATATACAAGAGAACAAAACATTAAGAAGAGAACATAAATATTTAGCAGATACTAAGCTCAATGTTAAACTTTGTGTGATGCAACCCCTTTTGATGTAGTAATGCATAAGCCTGAACTTAGTAAACTCTTCCGTTTAAACTAGTCTGTGTTTGAACTTTGTACAGCTGGTGCAACTAGCCCTGTGTCAGTTCAATTTAATATTTCACAAAAAGTCACACTGTGCAGACCAACACATCTGTGTGACTTTAATGAAGACCTGGATGCAATTCGAGCAGGTTGAGCGAAGTTTTGGGGATGTGCGTACAGAAAATATTTCAGCAACTATTTTGCTATTAGCCTCACAGTTTAAAACTAGAGATGCAACATTTGAACACTGAATGTGTTGTGGCTGATTGACTACATCTGGGATATGTAGAAAATAATTCCTCTGAACCAGTCTTTTTACCCCTCACATGGCCAGGGCCTGCCGCACTCCTATTACATAAGAATAGCTCAACCAGTTTACATTGAAGTCCCTATAGTTGCTGAACATTTAGAAATGGTGTCTTGCCTAAAATGTTGATATGCTAACTGTGCTTCTCGAAAGTTTAGTCATTTATTCTGAGAATTCAGCTGATAATGAGGCCAGTAAATGTTTTAAGGCTTAATCAGTCTTAACCTCACAAAAATGTAAATATAGGCACTGACTATGTTCAAATGATTTCAGTGTCTTGAACTGGGTACACTACTGTGTGGTCAAGTGAAAATGCACATAATGCAAAATAAAGTGCACATAGGGAGCTTAGACAGACTAACAAATTAATATTTAGTTAATTTGAAGACTTAGTTTAGGGCACAGTAAAGATGCAAACGAAACATGTAACTGGTGTTGGCAAAATGTAAAACTATAGCTGCTGTGCTAACAATAGTCAATAACAATGATTGACCACGATTGTTAGAGCTAGGCCTACAGTTTAACCCAAAAATGTCAAAACTCAGAAAAACGTGAAAAGAACACCTATACAATAATGTTATTATCTCTTATATACATACATCATCTAAACCGCTTATCCTTCTGGGTCACAGTGGGGTGCTGGAGCCTATCCCAGCTGTCATTGGGCGGAAGGCAGGATACACCCTGGACAGGTCGCCAGTCCATCGCAGGGCAGACAGACATACACATACATTCACACACTCACTCACACCTAGGGGCAATTTAGCATGTCCAATTGGCCTGACTGCATGTTTTTGGACTGTGAGAGGAAACCCACGCAGACACAGGGAGAACATGCAAACTCCACACAGAAACGGCCCTGGTCGCCCAGCTGGGAATCAAACCCAGGCCATTCTTGCTGTGAGGCAACAGCACTACCCACTGCACCACCGTGCCGCCCCTATGTATTATATAATTTTTTATTATTATTATTATTATTATTATTATTATTATTATTATTATTATTATTATTATTATTATTATTATTATTATTATTATTATTATTATTATTGGCTTTAATTTGAAGCTTGTAACAGACATATTAACTTTTAACAGACATATTCACTAATATTTAACTTTGGGGATAGTTCTACAATGACTCTTTTCAGACACAGAGTAGCTGCTATTTTTCATTTGTAACAACTGACTGAAACTCATTACCCAGGTTGCAACTTGTCTTTACAGTCATTCTTATATCTCAGGTTTCCAGAAGCCTCACAATGACGTTTTTCTCAAGAAATTGGTAAATCTGACATATCAGGCCATCAGTTCACCTGCTGCATGTTGTGCTGGGTGTTTCAATAATGTAATCCTTTTGTTTCCATCCAGAACTTAATAAAGAAATGTGTATTACTATAGTACTTGCAGTTTTTAAATACAACAAGCATGACAATTCTATTAAACAACAATAGAATAATAAGTACAGAGCTTTTTTATCATTACGCCTTCTCTGAAGGCCTAGAAGACCCTGGGGATTCCCCACTGGTTAACAACTCCTGCTGTTACAATTAAAGAGGAAGTTCAAACACAAAGCATTAAACAAATCTATCATTTAACCAAGAATGAAGTAATCAAATAATAGCCAAAGAAACTACAATAATAGAAGCCAAACTACAAAAGAGAAAGCCAATATATATGAAAAATGAGCTTTCTTTTATAACAGTGCTGATCTGGTCAGGTAAGGATTATGCCAGTCCCTATAGAAAGTTCCTGTCTATTCTAGTCCACTCTTCCACTAATATTATTCTGTTGTTGTTTAATACAATTGTCATGCTTGTTGTATTTAAACACTGCAAGTACTATAGTAATACACCTATTTCTTTATTAAGTTCTGGTTGGGAACAAAAGGATTACATTATTGAAACACCCAGCACAACATGCAGCAGCTGAACTGATGGCCTGATACGTCAGATTTACCAATTTAGGTGCACATTTCAGTTAGATATACGTGTGCCTATTTCAGCATTGTTGGAAATGAGGTCTGGTCATTTTGCTGGTTACTCGAAAAGTCCAGTGTTCCATCATGTCCGTTGAACCAGTCACATACAGACACCCTACAGTCATCACCCTGGAATGTGGGAATGTCAGTGTGCTCTGCTCAGACATGAAGCACAAATTTAGGAGAAAAATGGGCTACAATGGACAAGAACTCAAGAGACTGGTGTAAGCCTTACCAGACAGAACTGGTCATTAGGCTAATTGGTTGTTCCACCAAGTATTAGAGAAGAAATGATGAATGTAGCTATTTTTTGTTCTGGGAGCTTATAACAAAGCTATGCATAATGGTGGAAGTTTGCTTGATAAAGGGCTGCAACAAACAACTATTTCTATAATTAATTAGTTGGTTCATTATGACTTTTCATTAATCCCAATTAATTGCGAAACAAAAACTTGCAGATGTTAGTCTGGCAACAATGTTTCTTTCAACACATTTAAAATACAAAGATTATTCATCCTTATATATAAAAAATCTAATAAAAATAAAAAACATGTACCCCATCTTCTTACTCATATTTTCTAAACAGAAAGGGCACAGCAACAGATTTTCTACATTGTGTCTGAAAACTCAAAAACTATTTTTGAAAGGTGAAAAACAATAAAGGAACAGCACAAACACATTTTACATATCAGTCCAAAATAGGCTGCTTTTGTGCATTTCTCCTCTAATGATGAATCAAAAATAAATGTAATAGCTTCTGTGTAGTCACTCATGTAATGCAATTTGATATTACACATCACACACTCACAGTCCACTTAGCAGCCATGTTAGATACGGAAAGCTGAAGCATCTCATCACATGTAAAATGGCAATAACTGTGCGTGTCATTTAGCTGGTTTCAAACATTTTTTATCAGTCCATATTCAAGTGGCTGAGTTTCTGCAGTGTTATATTCTGTGACACGCTCACGCCTGACGTTCGTGCTGCCCACTGAACTCAGTTTTACATATTGTACAGGAAATCACGTTTTAGGTAACATAAACATTACTTAATGTTTTCATAGTGGGGTGGGGGGGTGGGGGTTGCATGACCTTACACTGCAGTCTCTGCTAACTACATTTTCCTGATATAATGCGAAGAGCAAACATCACAAGCAAACCAATCAATAACATGATTTGTTGCCAACATTATTGATAATATCGATCAGTTGTCCTACTTGATACATTGCAATGCTATTTAAACCTTAATAAAAGAACTCAAATTCTCCACATTCTATAACACAAAACCTTCAAATTGTTCATAATGCAACTGAAGCTCATTTTTTTCCATGGCAGTTTATTAGAAAAATTAAAGAGCACAGAGGTGTATACTACTGAGACAGTCACTCTTTACAGTTCATATAGAGAATTGAAACAGGAGTTTTGAAATACACCAGTTCAGAAATCAACGGCCACTCATTGGACAGAAATTATGAAATAATAGTTCCAATGAACTGGAACAGATTTTTGATCCATAAAAAAATTTGATCCTTAAGGCTTTGTGTGAGATCCTATACTATAGCTATTGTCACTTTTTTCTGTATCTCACATTGGAGACTGTTACAGGACTGTCTATCTCACAACACAGAAAGTATATTTTATGACCCAAGAAAGACTCACGAAAATGTTCTCCGGTTTCAAAAAGAAAAGAAAGGCCTTTAATCTTTCACACCGTGTGACACGTCATGATAATGACTGCTAAAAAACGGTAAAATGTATTTATTTAATATAGTGTGTCTGTATGAGGAACTATCAAGAATAAAAAAATAATAAAAACCTAGAAGCACCTAATGGATGAAAGCAGTGCTTTAAGCCGTTACAAACTCTTGTCCAAACTTGCAACAATAAATGACTTACATTGAGCTTCCTGAGGTGACTAAGCCAAGAACCATGGAGGAAGCTCTTCATGACCATGGGATGTCTTACGCAACTACAGCTTATCTTATATGCAGCTTATCCCATGCCGACTCACCATGAAAAAATTCAAGTAAAAACATCTATTCAATTTATACTGTGCAAAATGACAAAACTGTGCTGCAATCAGCTTTTTATTAATTTTATCAGTTTTCCCCCTCTGGTTCTAAATCATACCTGATACATTGTTTAAACTGTTTACAAAATGACTGAACAGAGCTGAAGTATCAACTTGATATGAATACAACACTAAGAATAAAAATTCATCAACAATAAACTAACATCATTATTTATGTCAGTACTTTCTATCAAACCAGTGAAGTAGTCATTTCTGCAAACAATATTTTGAAGTTACACTATTAACATCTTGGAGGCCTTTTAGATCATACATTTTAAAATCAACTAATCTTCTTTCCTTCAACATTTTTTCTGGAATAAGAGCAGTTATATCCTATTAAGGCTTACAGATATGCTATGACTCCTTCATGCTATTAATAGTTTAATAGTTTACTGAACATAAAATGTTTGACTATCAAGCACAATATGAACAAATGATAACCAGGAAAGCACTGGATTTCCAAAGTAGCCTGTAAAATGTTCCCAATAGTCTGAATCCCATTTCTGAGAAAAGATATACTCTTCTAATTAATTGTGATCTATTACACAAATAACTTCTTGTAAAGGCCCCCAACAAGTGTGCAGTAACCTATACAGACATGAGAGAAAAGTAAGACCAGTTTGTTGCATATGCGTGATGCACCAAGTGGCCCATGTTGTCATCAATAACTACTGCTGTGCCTATCATTAATAAATATTGCTGTACTTGCTGTGAGGCGTGCATTCAGCAACAACTGCAGCAGTGGTCAAACTAATCTAGGGCATCAGCAGTGTCTTCACATGTTATTCATAACTTGATAATAAGCTAATAAGAGAGTTCATGATAACCATCCTCTATGGTATGTAGAATAGTTTATGGAAAAGCTGACTCACTTCCGCTTTCAAACATGTTTTTGGGTTGATGTATGGGGCAACAAGGAATATACAAAGAACAAAAACAGACACAATAATGGGTAACACTACATGTGAAGGCTGCCTACATAGGAACTTCATGCATAAGCATTGAATAACATATTTATAAAGCAGACTTTGTATTGACACAAGGGGCCTTAAACTAAAGTGCCATGTGTTCAATTTACAACACTGTTATGAACATTCCCAAGTGATAGAACTTAAAATACAGAGGCCTAGTTAGGAACACCATATATCAGTACTGTGGATAATCCTGTTCCCCTTAGGCTAATCGTTTTTATAAAAATAGACATATAACAAACTTGCATTTGAGTAAAGATATTAAATACAGTAATAATACTATATTTCTACTTGAATATTACTTAGGAATGATGATTCATAGCAGTGTTATAAATGGAATATGATGTCATTAAGCCAAAAAAAAAAAAATCGAAAGGCTAACTTCCTCATCAAAAAAGGACGTGAAAAAGCTGAATCCAAAAAAGAGAGTTAAAGAATAGGAAATGTTGGGACTACACTCATACATTTACAGTATATTCATTAAACAGATTTAATGAATTAAGCACAGACGGGTTTCGGCACATGGCCTTCCTCAGTGTGCTAACAGCATTCTAGCCACCATCCCACTAAATAATGCTACCAATTCCATGATTCCATGATGTCAATGAGGTGAGTCAATAACCAACAGTGCAACATCATGAAAGTGGCTCAGATCGGATTTGAAAAGATCAGATTTGTGTGTCCACACAGCTGAAAACATCAGATTGGAGTCTTATTTGGGCAAAACAATTGGATTTGTTCCACTTCAGCTGGGTAATGTGAATGTAGGCTTATATTACAAAAAAGAAAATTCTTAAAGGTGGCCTATTATGCGTTTTGCAATGAAACCATTCAAAAATTCTTTATAAATATGTCATTCAGTGCTTATACATGTGTTATAATGTCCCTTTGTAGGTAGCCTTCAAACAGTGTTCTAATGTATTTATTCTGTAATTCATAACAGAATGCTTGTCCATTAGCATTTATTCTTTTGTTTTTGTCTTGTTGCCATTGTCCAAAATCCAAATTATGGGAACAGTGAATGACTGTGACAAATGGATTAATGTATACGCTATAGGCACTTAAATCAGTATCAGAACTCAAAGAGATTTGCATGGGGCATCACTTATTATTGCATATCTTTTTCAGTCTAGTCTGCTGGATGTCAAAATCAAAAAAAAGCATTAGCTATAGAATGAGTGTCTTAAATTCAGCCAGGAGATGTAGAAGCACCTTTATTTGAATGTGATGAGGTAGTCTGGATACGCCTGGCAGTCGTGAAACACCACAAACATCTCAGGATTCTGCATGTTGTCAACCACGCTGTCGCAGCGGTCATTGGGGTCCTGAGAGGAGCGGGGAGGTGGAGTGTTCATGTTACTCTGTCCCTGGGCATAGTGACCCGTGAGGACAAGGACAACAAACATGAGCTGCGTTCCGTCTGCGGCAGGTACAGAGAAAGTGGGATGGGCAGAGTAGCTGGCGTTCACGGCGAAATATGTTCCAAGACCAAACCTTGTTGCTGCAAGGCATTAAAGAGGAGGAGAGACAAAGAATTAAAGGAGGGGAAAGAGTGAATAACTTGGTAACAGGAATTAATCTTAATCTGGCCACAGTTGGAGCTTCAAATTTAAACATTGGTAGGTTTATATCAAGCTGATGCACTGAAGGCTGAAGGCTGATGCAATGGCCATGTTTCCTAAGAGGGCAAAGAAAGTAATGCAGAGCTTGGCAGAGAGCATGATACATGATACAATCACAGCACTTAAAGAAAACAAATCAAATTTCATTATAAAAAATTATAATAAATTGGCTTGGAAGTGGGAAGTCAGAGCTCATTTCTTCGCATTCTAACCACAAAGTGGAAGAAAATGGATGGCTCCATTAAAGCAAGTACTGTTAGCAACATGCTAGCCAGCTAGAGTTAGTGATATGACATGACTTTATTATATATTATATTATGAATTATATATTTACCTTGTGAACTTTATGGTCAGTTATAGATTTAACTAATTACTGTGTCTGTATGTTGATTGATCTGATTACAAAAACATTATAATTCTACCTTGTACTGAAGTGTTACCAATAAGTCTATGACAAACAATGTATCGAACTAGTTGTGACAACTGAAATGATCTGAGTTCTAACTAAATTGAGCTCTTAAATGTCTTTATGGAAACACATTTCAGTCAATCATTACCATTTTGCCCTGCAAATCTGCGATCAAAGTTAGTCCTCTGTATGGATGAGCAGGCAACACCTGTGCTTCCATGGTACAGAACTTTCTCTCCTGCTCCCACTGGAAACCCATTCTTATCCTGCAGCTCTTTCTTACGAACTTCATAAGCCCGACGGAGGTGCACATTTTGTATGCGCTCAATCTGTGGAGACACAAAATACTTTTATAATATTTCATGTTTTTACTGCTCACTTGCTTTTGTTTTATTCTCCATAATGCATATGACATCAGCAACTGCACACATCATTTTATAGTGGTGAGTCAGTCAACAGACGCAATGTTCTTTACTGTTCAGCCTACTATTACATTCCTATTATTTGAGTCACGGACAAACACTGAAGACACTGAAGCTTACTTTGAGCACTGTTTTCTGGACTGTTCTCTTGAAGTCTGCTTTCACCCTTTTGTATTCAGCAGAGCTGGAGGGCAGAGTGACCAGCTTTAGGGTTTCTCCTGGGTCCATGCTGTCCCAGTACAGAGGGAAGGAGAAATCTAATGCACAGACACAAAACAACATTGTTTAACTTTATAAAGTAAAGAGTATTTCTTTATTTCTGGACTAAAATACATGGGCTTTGTTAGAAATTCGGCACCAAGAGTCAGGAGACTGGAGCTTCGGCGTTGACTGGAGTTTATTTCCACATACAGAGTATGGGTACAGCGTAGTCAATCAGCAGTCAATCAGCAGTATCAGGAGTCTAGTCTTATTCACGTACATGCAGACAGTCATGCACGGGCACAGCTTGGTCATCAGTGTGTCACTAGTCTGGTCTGGTCACCAGTCTAGTCTAGTCCAGTCTGCAGTCCAGTCTAACAAGAATATTTTAGAAGAACCTTATATACATTGAAAAACTAAGGAGGGGGAGGAGCAACAAAAGGACTTTGAGGAGGGGTAAGGAGGGGTTGTAGACGGGGGATATGTATAGAGATGTAGGGGGTAGAGATAAAGGGGGGTTGATTGTATCACCTTAAGGTCGTTAAGGTCATTTAAATACAAACAAAGAAGTGATCGGGCAAGATGAGAGTGCGACCAGTTTCACCTTTCTGCCATTTGCTTAAACTCTACAATGAACATGGTTTAGACCTTAAGAAAATAACATAAGAGAAAATAACATATTGAGAATATTTTCTCTCAGCTTGCACCTGAAAGGTTCTCCAGTCGTTTCAACTTGGCCACCGTGCTTGGAACTGCAATTGCTGAGGCCTCCATTCTTGTCAGATTTACTGCCCACATCCGTCCCTGTGCATCCATCACCCCTGCCGCGAAGTTGTTATTTTCTAGCTGGTGATGGGCCTTTTTGGGCAGTCTCTCCCAGTCACCCCTTGATCCCAGAATGCACCAGCTGACATGAGCAAAAATAATGTCCTGCTCGCTTTCTCTCACCTAAAGTGTTTATACAAAGCAGAAAAATGCTGTTATGATCAGTCATTTCACTAAGAGCACAGCACCTTTAGACGATCGTAAGTGAAACGCTCCAACTGGAAATAGCTCATTTCAATATATTGGTGTGGGTTTTTGCAGGATTTCAATTGCGGTGTGTTGAAGGGGTGTTCCATGATATTTTCTTGAATAAAATGTGAATTTTCTGATAAAATGAAAGCCCTCACATAAGGTCAACATATTCTTTTCTAATGCTGCTCTTGACTTGGCTTGGAAGTGGGAAGTCAGAGGTCAGAATTTTCGACCTCTGTGCATTCTAACCACAAAGTGGGAGAAACATGGATGTCTCTAAGAGGGCTAAGAAAATAATGCAGAGCTTGGCGGAAAGCATAATAATTTTGATTGGCCATAACATAATGAGAGCAGTTTATAGAAAACAAATTAAATTTTATAATAATAAATTATAATAAGATAGCTTGTAAGTGGGAATCAAAGCTCTTTCATACCTCCATGCACTCTAGCCATAAAGTGAAAAGGGTTGCCACTATTAAAGTAAGTATTGTTTGCAATAAGCTAAAGTTAGTGATATGACTTTTATTATACATTTAACTTTATTGGTCAGTGTTATAGATTTAACCAATTTAATGTGTCTGTATGTTGATTGATCTTAAGCTGATATCATTCAAACGTAGAGACTAGTGTGAGAGTGTGTCTTTCTTACTCTAGACTATGTAAGCGGTCGTGTTGTTTTGATGTCATACGCTGATCAGTACCGGTGTGTGCACCTCCATTAAAAACAATAATTTTGAATTTCTGCATGATGCTTTGCATCAGGTGTGTGCTGGCGTTAAGTGTAAAAATTATTTATATTGATACAGATATGAGGTTATAAGCTACTTGCCTAGTAATACGCATAAAATATTGTATGCGTATCAGAGGATATCCAAGGTTTCCGTATCAGTACTGAAAAATATTAAATGGCAATGCAATTGAACAGTAATGTTGTACTGAATCTATTTTTTTTTCATTCTGTAACATCACACTACGTTCAATTCTACTCCATACCTGCCTAAGAAGAGCCCCTTGCATCATGCGGGCAATTTCATTTACTCCACTTGTCAGTCCACATACTACCAAATCATTTGGGCTACGCTGGGTTATCTGGATACCCAGAGAATCCACATTACTGGTGATACGGTGAAATTCATCTTGAGCCAGGTGTCTGAGCTCATCTGCAGAGAATGACTGAGATGAGCACTCTCTCTCGTAAGCCCGACGAAGTTCCTGACAGGCGTATGAGACATTCTCTGCAGTTGAGCCTATGACAAGAAACTCAGCTCTGCTCCTCTGTTGGACTGGCAGGGCTTGAACAAGGGAGCTGAGATCTATGGCCATAGATGGTGGTTGGTGCCCTCTAGAGGCAGCTCTGAAAGGTCTTAGCAGTGCAGGAGCTAGAAAAAACAAAGACAGTGATACATTAACACTCTGTTCTCTTCTGCTGAGACTTCCTTCACTGCATTTTTTAATGCTAGGTAGGACAGCTATAAAATAGGTACAAAAGACACTCAAGTTTAAAATTAAATCTAATATAATTTTTTGTAAACATTGCTATATTCCCACCTGTCGTCTGTGTGAATGTGCCGAAGAGCTGCAGTGCCACTTCTTTGAATGCCAAGAAGACATTGATTTTCAGGATGACAATCCGAATTGTTTTGAGGTATCTGAAGTTAGCACCTCTCACAGCATCCTTTACTCCCTGGAGAATGGACTGAGCCACCAGGCGTGCTTCCAGGCCTCCTTTTCCTACATGACCCAACAGAGTTGTTGTTGTTTTTTTCAAAGATTAAAGATTAAACTGTTAAGCTTTCAGAAGCTGTGAACTGTGTTCATCTTTGCACCAGCTCATCCAGGGTTCAAATTTGGGGGGCTGGGGCAGGAACCTGGATCTCACATAAGAGGAAGAGTGAAGAGACCCCCCATAAAAGATACAGCACTGAACTGGCAGGGCTTGTGTTATTTCCTTCACTGTAAACAACTGTCAAAGAACTTAAAATTTTGGATTTACAGTAATTAGCTGTTATTTGAAAAGCATGCTGGGAAAGTGATTGGCACTTTGTGCAGACTTCAACAGCCTGACTCTGAATATTGTAGTGAATACTTAATGCTATAAGCAATAGATATTTGGTTACTGCAGTCTTTGTAGTCTCAATGATGGTATCAGTGCAGTAACTGCTGTAATGTGATGCTCAGTTCATGATTGATAACAATAAGGATGTGGAAAAATAGTGTGATCGTTCTCTTAACTATGTAACAGCATGCATGAATGTTCTAGCACTTGCTATCAGAAGCTCACTAGACAAATTTGCCCTATTTATATATAATTTTACATGTTGTACTACATAATGTGGTAAAACTGAGGGAACTCAGACAGCTGTAAATTCACATTAGAGCACATATGATATGTACACAAGAAATACAGTAGTGAAGCAAAAAACTGTACAAATAAGGTATTGAGCTGTGTTTAGAAATACAGTAAAGTACTGTAATTGTATAATACAGTGTGAGTGTTGAATTGCTGCCAGTAAATGCTACCATTTACCAAAATCTTTTAGAGTTATGAATAAAATGTGATTTTTCTGAATTTTCGCAGTGTGCCTGGTGTATGGCAGCCTTAAATGAAAAACGTAATTTATATTGATACAGATATAAAGTTAAAAGAGTCCTACCAAGTAGTATTTGTGAAAACAACTACAAGGGTAAACCTCACAAAAATATATTGTGAAAATAGTATGCATCAATACATAGTTCACCTCAGAGTCTGAATTTCCACCAGGGGACCACCAAGACCACTGTCACAATTCAAATTAAAAACTATTAAAACAATCTCAGAATAGTGATTTCTTGCAAAATTCAGAATCCATGGAGCATAGCAAAGTTTTATAATAGTGCCTGGCTTCATCTGTATTATACTTAGCATCATTCAGTGTAAAAGAAAATACATTCTTATAGATAATAGGTGAATGAAACCTTGCAATTGTGTAGATTTATAGTTGATGAGAACATGTAATAGAACTATAAAATAGAATAGGCAGAATTCATAATTGCTAGGCTAATTGTAGATTTCCATCAAAGTCATTACATGTGCTTGCAAAATGTATTCTGTTATAAAGTAGATTGCAACCAGTTTAAACCAAAAATTTTAAATCATATTGCATCTGATGTCTTTATTGTAGTGCAATAGTAAAAGTAGCAAATTTCCTAATATGCCTTTTAGGGTTGTTAAGTATTAACCAACAAATAAACAGTTGTTTGAGCAATGCTATTGGTTAAAAAAATATATTTTTAGTTACTTTTCATACATTTAATTAATTAATTTTGCTTTATTTAATTTCTAATAAGCAACAGTTCTTTTTTATGTGTTAATCTTTCAAGCTGAGGAAGGTTTTTAGAGGATGTGTGCTAGATAAGCCTATTAAAAAATTAAGCTTACAGCTAAAAATAGTGGTGTTCGGGAGGATGTATCATATCATAAACAAATGTACCTGGCCCATCCTATCAGTACTACATTCCATTTTCCATACACTGAAAACTTTTTAATATCTCAGCGCATTAATACAGAATTTAGTTGATGTGTGCAGTCATAAATGTGCATATATCAAGTATTTTACATATTTCAAGTGTAATACATTCACATAAGGTTATTGTACATACTGGCTGCCAAACAATGATTAAAGCTGAAAAACTGGGTTACTAACCGGCACAGATGGCAGGAATTGCCACTGACTGGCAACCGTCACTTTCACATTTTGACACTATATCTCGTGCCAGTCCTTTAATAACACCTGTGTCCTTTTCTCCACACACATGCATGAGCTCCTTGCAGGGGAAGTTTCCAGGTTGGGTGGTAAAGATCTCTCCTTTGTTTACCCGCACTAGAGAAAGAGATCATGAGAAAGTACTCAAACATCTCAAATACAACCCCAGAATCTACATATTGTCAAAACAATCAACAGCAACATATTGAACAAAGGACCAGTGACGTGGTTCATTTAACTGCACTTAGATTTCAGCAACTAAGTTGTGGAATCAAGGTCAAGGTTTTAGAGCACAAATCAAGAAATACAGAAATTGTCACAGACAAGCTCTGAAACTTTTAAACAACACCAACAAAGTTCGGTAGTTTTGTTTAAAAACATCTGTTATTGCAGTACCATCTCACAATTTGTCCTCCACTGTAGTCTTAAATGAGCCACTGATGAGCTAAAAAAATTGTCAGTACTCTTTCTTACCCCCTGTTAGAGCAGCCTGCACTTGTGGTCCAGCAACAGTCAGGATGTCATTGCACACATCTGGAAAATGCATATTTTATAATGAAGGAACATTTCCCCCAACAAACTTTTAAAACAGCCCACCATTCAGTATGATACAATGGAATGAAATGGATACATTTGATATTTAACAAAAGACAGCACCTGTGTGAAAGTCATTAAAGTCTGTGGTGTTTACAACAACATCGGTAATCTCGTTGCTGATGTCACCAAACACTAGATGGAGCTGACACCTGCCCGCTGGGATGGTGATTTCGTCAATTTCAGAGCTTAGAGACTGAAAGACAGCTGTGGCAGCCAATGAAATTAGTTAATGGAAATGTGCTTGCAGAGGATCAAATGAATGTATATTTGCATAGACACTGAGGCTAGTAATTACACTACACATTGTGGATTATGTTTGGACAAATGGACCTACCTTGCCCTGTCTGATCCACCATTTGTGCACTCAGCCCTGTGAAGACTGCCTGGTAGATCTAGCAACAGTGGGAAAATATGTGTACATCTGATTTTTGTAAGTCTGATTAAAGAACAGCACCAAAAGTAATTTCAAGAGTGAGACTATAATGTTATTATTAAAAACATTGATAGAACAATAATTGTTAGCAGTTAGCAGCAAAGAAATCTTTTCTGAATAATCAACTGAAAATATTAGAAATATTTTACCTCTTCAGAATTGGCGTAATTAGGCATTATGGCAATGCGTATAGTGCCACTGAATCCAGACCTGCCAAATGTGCTAATAATCTCTGTCAGAATAGAACTGGCATCTTTGACGGGTACTGATAGAGCCGGCCCAGGTCCGATTACCGGCATAGCAATAGAGCTCCAACCCTGCTGCTCACTTAGGGACAGGGCTCGCTCCAGGCCATAGCGTAGTGCCTGTAACACATTAGCATTAGTAACACACTGGTTACATTACAGCAGCGGTTCCTAATCCTATTCCTGAGGACCCCATAGTCTGCACATTTTGTCTCCCACTACCAGACTCAGTTTAACTTCCTAACTTATTAAAAGGCCCTCAAATGCAGAGTCAAAGTCAGAATTTAAAAACATTACAGACTTCAATAGATATTTTTTGAATGAGGGTTTGTTGATTTACAAATTCATGATAAATTTAAATCTTTCAACTGGGAAAAACACTGGAAAAAACAAGACAGATTTTTTTTAAATGTCAGTATTATTTTCAGAAGAAGGGGTTAGGTTTTAGGACAGACACGTCCCAATAGAAAGTAGTCTATGAATGATGATTGTGTACATATTTAGCTTATTACTATCTCAATTAATGCCACATATTTCAGTAAATACCTAAGGTCTAAGTACTTAAATAGGTTTTTACTGTAGGATCACAGTTCGAATTCATTGGGTAGAATGACCCATAATGAAATCAAGATGCATGATTTCAGAACACAATATGTATGATTCCTGGAATGCTTATGCAAGGTAACTTAGAGGAAGAAGTCCCCTAAAGTAAGAGGCCTCCCGTTTTGTTTTATCTCCTTATAAAATAATGGAGTCAAATCTAATTTTGACATATTCACTGAATGGCTATGGTCTAACTAATTTAGACACCATATCTGAATCACTGCATTTGTGGGATTTATTCCCCCATACGTTTTTGGAATCAGATGATCAACTTTTTTGACACTGGATAATAGTGGATAATGGTGACCTGTGCTTAAGTTGTACAATAAAAGTTGTTAAAATATATGATAGAGGCAGGGTTGTGGAGAGTGCAGTACATTTGGTTTGAGAGGAAAAAACATATACGTATTTTTCCTTTAAACTGAAAATGGTCTTACTGGAAATGACTTTGCATGTGAGTTTGGCAGTTAGGCACCTGACTGGATTTTGTTTTTTGATAGATTCATGAATCATCATCCTGTATATGCTAAAAATGATCATGCAAAGATATGGTTTAGTTTACAATAAGTGGACATTGATCTTAAGGGGGCATATTTCCCATTTTTCCCCAAAAAGACATAATGCGCAATTTGAAGAATGCCTATATAGAACACAGTATTACCGCATATGTTGCCTATTTCATGGACTGCTAAGGCCATGGTCTTGCAGCTTGTGAGATGTTACCTCAAACTTGCATATTTCCCTGTTCTTTAAGCAAAATTCAGTGTCACTAAAAATGTGTTTTAGATGTCTTCTTTTTCAGTCGAGTTAAATAATTACAGATAATTTCGCCTGGTGCACTCTTTCTCTGTGCTAACTCTTACCCTTTCGCCATCATCTGTGTTTCCACTCCAAGGAACGCACTCAATAAAGAACACCTTGCTGCACCCCAGTGGAGTCCCATCTACCTCCAGCACATCTCCAGGAGTTATTCTCCGTCTTCCTTTGGCAGTATTAAAATTGGTTTTCAATTGTTGTCCTGCTTTATCCAACAAGCACGTCCCAACTTTGGTTGAGTTCAGGGTGGTTTTCAACATGGGGACAACAAGTACATCAGCCTGTTCCAAACCAATTTGCATTATTACTTTGATACTTGTCAAAAAGGTATGTAATATGACAAAACAAATCCTTCAAGATCACATTAGGATCTCCCTAAACTGGTATTGCTGCCCAGCATAGTCTTTGTCTATTACAAGAGACCATGGCAAACTTTACTGCCAATGATGGTTCTTCAAGTGTTCTTTAGTAAAGAAAATGGTTGTATGTAGAACCATGAACACTCAAAGAATCCTTTGCACGATTAAAGGGTTCTTTGCATCATAAAAGTGTTCTTTAGATTGATGGAGATTGAACTCTAAATGGTTCTATATAGAACCTTCATGAAAAGTGTTCTGTATAGCATCTAAAAGGGTTCTATTGTTTTGATGTCAAGCTTGTAACAATAGAAGAACTATTGTTGGCACCATATAGAACCCTTTTCAAAAAGTTCATAGATAGAACCAGCATATTACAGCATATTCTCTATCAATCTGAGGAACCCTTTCACAGTGCAAAGAACCTTTTCATCATGCAAAGGGTTCTTTGAGCATTCATTGTTAGATATAGAACCATTTTCTTTTCTAAAGAACCCTTGAAGAACCATCACTGTTAAGTGTGTATTGTTGTTTGAAAATCTTTTGTTTTTGTACCAAAATATGTCAGATGCAGCAATACCTGATTAGGGCCATAGTAGAATACTTATGAATAATTCATTATTAGCTTTACCTGTTGTTCTTCAAGACCCCCAAATACAATTTCAAGGGCCAACGATGAATCAGCAGGAGTTTGGGGTGTAGATACAGCACTGGATAGATTAGGGAGGCTGGTCCATGCTCTGCGTCCGGCTGCTGTAGGACTACTTCTTGCATTATATTCTGGTATTATGAGAACCTGAAAGGAATTCTGCACTAATGACTGGGTCTTTAAACCGTCCCCTTGAAAGAACTGCACAACCCCTGGTCCATCTACTTCAATTTTGTCCCAGACAAGACAGCCAATAGCTGAACTCAGCTTCTCTTTTATGTCTTTTACTTCACGACGTGGTCCTGAGAGTCGGATGCATGGGCCAGGTAAGTGTGAGGCCACTAGATTCACATCACCCGTCTTTACTACTACTAGTGCAAGAAGGTCAGAGAAGTTATCTACCATTTCTGGTAAAGGTAGAGGCAAAGTGTCACTGTATTCTGCATGGTTCTCCTTGTAGTCCTGTATGACAATTTTTAAGGTGGAGACTTCAGTGTTATAGCCCACCAGCTGCACCTTCATTCTGGGGTCAACATTCGTTCCTGGTTCATAGGTAACTTCCACATTTGTAGTTCCACTGTTAGCTTGTTGCAAGGCTTGCCTCAAAGCTTCTTTCAGAGTGTCTATTCCTGGTGGCCCAGCTTCAGCTCGTTCCAGTGGTACTGATTCCACGCACACGTCCCTCTGCACTGCTGTTGCTGCTTCCTGTAGTGCCCCAGTGGATAGACTCAGCAGGACCAGGTCTGAACCTCTGGTCTCAAGCAAAACCGGCCTACGCAGACTCTGTCGGAATCGTGTCTGGTACTTCTGCACTGCACCACTTGATGACAAGAATGCTGTGAGAGCAGGATGAAGCTGAATCCTTTTCTCTTGAATCTGATTCACCAGCGCTTGAAGCTTTTTGCCTGCAGCCTGAACTTGTTCTTCAGGACCTTTCAGTGCAACAGAGTCTGGCCTGTCCTTTGTAATTTTGATTCCTGAAAAATTTGACTTCATCTCCTGTTCAAACTGCTCTTTCACAAGAGTGTACTGCGTCTCAGCCACAGGATACTCTTTACAGGCCTGCTGCTGCAACTGCAACGCATCCATAATTTTCAAGAACTTCTCCATCTCCATATTCTCTCCAACAATCACTGTTAGACCACCTTCTTTATAGATTTTAAGGTATTCACTGGGTGGGAAGGGGTTCTGCTTCAGGATCATTAGCCTTTCAGGCTCCACCTCAAAATGAATAAGATAGCGGGCCTGCAGGTCTGAAAATAATTTTTCCACTTTTGCTTCCCACTTCTGGGCAACATCATCTTCAGCTGATTCAACCTGATCCCTGATTACTATTACCTTCTCAGATACAAGGTCTAATTTGTAGGAACTGGACAGAAAGGCAAGATGCTTCTCTAAGTCTAAGCTTGCTGCTGCACTCTCTTTCAGGAACTGCAATAAGTAAGGGTCCAGTTTCAAAGCTGTTTCCATGGGTTTACCTCCTGAGGCCATCTGAAAACAAATAATGAGCAAATTAAAGCATACCATGCATTGCTAATAATTGCTAGAAATGTTTTAACCCTCACTAGTTTGGATCATGTCTAGCATGAGAGAAGAACTCTAAGAACTTGAGCTGGAGTTCAGTATGGCTTCTGCTTTAAGCTGAAAGACTGGGCTTCCCTATGATGAAGAGAGATAGGACTGAGGAACAGGGAGAAGACGGGGAGAGGTGGGTGGGTTTGTCACTGGAAGTAGAAGGTAGAGTTGGGAAATTTATAGAATGTTAGATTGGAAGGAGGAGGAGCTTCAGGCATGGCCCACTTCCCATACTTCAGTTATTTATCAACTTTGTGTACCTTGTAGATTCCAGACCTTTCTGTAAATGTAATTGTGTCAACTTGATCCTTAAATGTACACAAACAACCCCACAATGAAAGATGTACAGTACTGTGCAAAAATTTTGGACACCTAAGCACATTGAAAAACTAAAAAAAAAAACCCATTTCCAAAAAAGTTGGGACGCTGTGCAAAATGTAAATAAAAACAAAATGCAATGATGTGCAAATCATTTAAGCCATATATTTTATTGAAAATAGTGAAAAAAACAACATATCAAATGTTGAAACTGAAAAATGTTATTTTTAGGAAAAATGTATGACCATTTTGAATTGGATGCTAACAACATGCTCCAAAAACAGTTGGGACGGGGGCAACAAAAGGCTGGTAAAGTTGTGTAATGCTAAAAGAAACACCTGGTGATTAATTGGCAATAAGTCAGTAACATGATTGAGAATTTTAAAAAGCATCCCAGAGAGGCAGAGTCTTTCAGAAGTAAAGATGAGGAGGGGTTCACCACTCTGTGAAAGACTATGTGGGCAATTAGTGCAACAATTAAAGAATAACATTTCTCAACGTAAAACAACAAAGAACTTTAGCTTTTTATCGTCTACGGTACATAACAACGTTAAAAGATTCAGAGAATCTGGAAAAGTCTCTGTATGCAAGGGACAAGACCGAATACCAGTATTTTCTGGCTGTGATCTTTGGGCCCTCAGGCGGCACTGCGTTAAAAACAGATATGATTCTGTAGTGGAAATCACTGCTTGGGCTCAGAAACACTTCTGAAAAACCACTGTCTGTGAAAACAGTTCGTCTTCACAAATGTTAATGCTAATGAAAAATATGACAAAGGAGACCCTGAACTGTTGAGCAGCAGCTGAAATCCTGTATCAAACAAGAACGAGAAAGCATTTCACTATCAAAACTACAACAGTCGGTCTCCTCAGTTCTTACAGAGTGTTGTTGAAAGAAGAGGTGATGAAACACAGTGGTAAACATGCCCCCGTCCTAGCTTTTTTGGAACGTGTTGTTGCCATCAAATTCAAAATGGCCAAATATTTTGCAAAAAACAATACAAATTTCTCAGTGTCAACATTTGATATGTTGTCTTTGTAGTATTTTCCTTTAAAAATATGGTTTACATGATTTGTATATCATTGCATTCTATTTTTATTTACATTCTGCACAGCGGAATGTAAACTTTTTACATACTGATTTTCAGATTTTAAGATTTCATCGCAAAACTTTTTTCATGATATATGTAGCTTTACACATATAATTTGAAATCAAGAAATTTATATATATATATATATATATATATATATATATATACAAACAGCAAACAATACAAACATCCTAAACAGTTCGATTAATTAATGTATTCACTTTCATAGCCTTTTCTGTCTACTGGATTTTAATTGGAACAAAAAGAAATTAAAGCAAAATGATGAAGGGAAAAACAGATTAATATTCAAATTGTTATTATTACACATTCAAACTTTATCCTGGAACTCAAAAAATGAGGAAGTAAATCCAGTAAATCCAGTTTCAACAAAACAAGGAGTCAAGAAAATGCATCTTGGTCATTTTGTGTCAAATACAATAAAATCTCTGGAATAAGAACATTTTGTGTGAGAACTTCTGGACGCATTTACATTAAATCAGCTGATTTTTATTTGTATTTCTTGCAAACGAGTTTGTTCATCTGCTCCTCCTTCTGTTTCCAGTAAACACTGCTATCAACCCCTGCAGTGCAAATAGTGAAACTGTACTCTGCACTGGTTGAACCACATGCCTGTTAAATGACGTGTATTACCTGTTGATCCGTTGAGGAAGATGGTTGTTTTTTCTTGTCTTCTTGTTCGTCATGGCGACGGAGCAAGATGTGCAGACTTCTTTGCCTGGCTAGAGGGACTGTATGCTCTGTTTTGCTTAAAACTCTTTCCTGGTCTTTAATTTGAAAAAAAGTAAATTAAATAAATTAACTTTTCAACTTTTTACATCACACTGACAGTCCAGCCAGCGGGCACAAAGCACAACGACACATAGCTTTATATGACATGTTGTTTCAGTCATTAATGAGAGACAAAAAGCAGCCAATTATTTGAAAACCTCTTCACAAACCTGTTTGCTCTCTGAAGGCGATCTTGTACGTGTTCTCTCTCATTTTCTCCACTTCCCCACAGTCTCCTCCGCCCGACCGCCGCCTGATCTGAAAGTACTTTCTAATCGTTACCATGTCATCATTTGAGAGGTCACTCGCCTCAAAAAACACCGCGTGCTGGTGGACGGACATCTTCAGTTTTAAACTGCTATTGCAATTTAATGACCTGCCTTAAAAATTTCACTCTGCTCCGAACGCAGCCCTGTGTGCGTCCAACCAGCCTACATGTCGAAGGAAAGGTGGCGACCCACTGAATGCTTTCACTTTCACTCCAGCCCCTCTACACAACACTTTCACAAGTGATTTGGTCACTTCTTCCTTTCAGGCACGTGCCCTCTTGGTCAGCGTATAGAACAGTAATGTTTTATATGGCCATTCTTCAAGACCCGTTTCACGAATAGATAAACGAACAGACTTGCATCCGTTTGGGTCCACGAGCTTTATCCCTCTTGGTCGCCCCCTCCGGTGCAGTACAGGGGCATCGCCTGGTCTGGGCTTCCTGTTTTTATTATTATTATTATTATTATTATTATTATTATAACAAGAAACACGCTTTTGGGGAAGACATAATAAAATAAATAAATAAATAAATAAATAAATAAATAAGTCAAAACGCATAATTTACCAACAATAGTATTCAGTACGTTGTGAGTTTTAGCAGTTTTGCTGTTTGAAGGGCCTTGACATGTTGTCTAACGACTTGTAAAGAGACTCTATATCAAAACAAAAAAGTTTAAAATTAGGTTTAGCCTTTATGAATATGAAACTGTCATAGAAGACAAAACAATAGTGTGTAAATATTCAATATGTTTGTTTTTCTGTGGGGACAGTTGTAAAATAAATGTTAAATTATTTCATCTTCATTTTTCAGAAGGGGCATTGAAGAGATACACTTAAAAGAACTTACATAATAACATATTATGTGGACAGTAATTATCAAAAATAAAAGAAAAATGTAATATCTTTGTTTTTCCAAATAAATCTGAATAGTAAAGGGTCAACAGGTTTACACAACTTAATGTCCATATGAAGAGAAAGTGCTAGATACAGCAGGTATGATATACCTTCAGGTTTAGACAGCAGAACCCTGCCATAAATTGGTAGATCTCTTTTCAATTTTATATATATATATATATATATATATATATATATATATAATATATATATATATATATATATATATTTAATTTATCCAATCTAGGTTCACAATCTTTACATTTTCAACAGCATTATTGAACTCAGTGTATTTTGCTTGAGAATGTAAAACAAAAATATTGTCAGAAATGTCCAGGAGCCTATTAAAACATAAAAATAGTAAAACAGAAACAGAAACAGAAATCTATCCATGTTTTTGAGTGGGAACATTTGTGAAATAAATGATAAATTGTTTCATCTTCTTTTTTGCAGAAGGAGCATATTTTCTAACCAGGAGAAACGCTGTCAAAGAACTTACATAATAACATATTACATGGAGAGTAGTTGTTGAAAATCTTATAATGAATTTCTCTTATTTCGTTGGGAAACTCATGACAAGCAATTCGCATATGGCTAATATTTAAATGGGGGTAAAACATACTTTAGGCACATTGTTCTCTCCTGGGATCAGGGGTTTCCTGATAAAGTAATTATTAAAGTGTTTCTTCTAACATTTTCTATTTTGTTTTTCCAAATAGATTTTATACAGTTCAATGTCAAAATGAAGAGAAAGTGCTACATACACCAGACATACACAGATTTTAATCCTTAGAAGCCTGCTATAAATTGTTGGATCTCTTTTCAGCCAGCAATTTAATGTATGTTTTTTAATTTATCCAATCCATGTTGATTTTTTTAATATCCTCTCACAGCTCGATTTACGAATATCAGTACCATGAGGAGAATTACCACTCTTTTTGGTTTCTCAAACACTAGAGGGCGCTCCCGAGCGAGTCCAAACTGAATGAGTGAAGATGGAGCATTTGAACAAAATCATAGTTTATAAATGCTTAAACATTTTAATATAAAAGAATACAATCATTTCCTGAACACTGAATGGCATAAAACATTTTAACACTGCTGTTATATTTTAAGAGCTTTTGAATTCCAGTTATAGGAGTTTAAAATGGCTCCTCACATGACCTTAACTTCAGTGAACATGAAGAGCCAATGAGCTGCTCCGCTGGCCAACCAATCAGCACTCAGTAGCAGTAGCGTCCTGCTGCCCAAAACCCATTTGCTGTAGAAAATAGGAAACATATAGGTAAGTTTTCTTTGCTTGAAATACATCCTTCTACTTTCTAAAATTATAGGAAAGTTCTGGGGATGTGATTAGAAAATATTTAAACTTTTCGTTTCTAGTCGTTCAGCTCCATTCACCCCCAGTAATTGAGGACTCGCTGGTGGACACCCTCTGGCGTTTTGCAGTCATGTTTTTGATATAACAGGAGAAACAGGAAGAGGGCAGGCTCCTCAAGACCAGCTGTGGTCAAGCCCAGTCTCGGATCCCTGTCTTGATTTTACTTCTCAAAGACTTTTGGCCAGAGTGAACAAGTTAGCACATTTTAATTACCATGTAAGCCATACAGTTAGCTCTACAACTTCACTGATTAAATTTGTTGCACTGTAAAAAAAAAAAGTCCTAATTTTACAGGAAATAACCCTTACATTTTTATGGTAATTTTCTGTTTTTTTTTTGTTTGTTTGTTTTTTTTTTAATTGTATACAAAACTGTAAAATTACAGAAAACATCTGTAAATTAACAGCCTAACTGTTATTTTAAGGATTCTGGCAATAATGACAAAGTACCAGTGAGCACATTGCTGAAAGAGTATGTTAACGTTTATAAAAGAGTGGGTTAATATTTATAAATTCTAATATATCTTAAAAATAATGTCTATTAATTGTGTTACACTGGAATAGGCCTTTTTCAATACAAATATTTATTTTCTCTATTTTTCTTTCATTTCCAAAGCATTTTTTCTTACAGTTGCTATGCTACCAAGCTGTAACAATTGCCATCGGCTGTCTCGCCACGTTTCCTTGAGCATGATTGGCTAATCTGTCATCCAGGAAACTGGCCAATCATAGCTGAGCGCGCCTTTCACCCGGTCAAATCTGAAAATCCGTCGGTTAGAGCGGGTGACTTGCTACTGCTTCCGCCACTCGGTCGGTCCACTATCAGTGGCTGTTACCTGGATTATTTTACATCTGCCTGTCAGTTTATTTTGGGCGTATTTGAGTTGTGGGATGTCAACAGAGAGCCAAAAACTGGAATATGGACAGAGAAGAGGGTCAAACGGGATCTGTGGCAGTATCAGGTAAGACAAAATGCTCCCTGTTGTTCTCCGTAACAGCCGAACGTAGCGACAGCTGTATTTTGTGTTCGTGTCCGTCATTTATGCAGCCCAGTCTAAAAGTGAAATTAACCGCTACGTGAACCACGAACGAGTGATGTTCATCGCCCTCAGTGAGCTTAATTTGCGGGCTGTTCGCGTTTTCTGGTATAAACAGTGTCTCTTTCTTTCGTTTCTGTTTAGTTCTCATCTTTTCAGTCTGTTGTTGCTGAGCGCAGTGTGAAAGCCGTATACTGTTAATATTTGTCCTGAACCGAAAAGCGCCAGGTCACTTAGCTCGCGGCTAATTGAAGTTGGTGTCTAGTCTAGTGCTGGATTCTTCAGAAGCAGATTCTCAACATGCCGAACAAGCACAGCACGGCGTATCGTTAAACTAACGAACATCCATCCCAAGACCACCGCAGCTCGGTTGGACCCTAGCAGTCTGAAACACGCTAACGTTACTCGTTTGAACCACAGCGGTTTTACTGCTGTTTTTAATGTAATTTACGGTGAATAAACCCCTAAAATGCAGATGAACAGTAAAGTAACGTCTGCAGATAAAGTGAAACTTATTGAATCAGGAAATTGAATCAGAAAATTGATTAAAACACTTGCCAGTCTAGGCCACAGCATTGGGATTGGTTTAGATCCGTTTAATTTCAATACATTTATATATTTAGTCTGCAAAAAGATTGACATCAGGAGGGACTGCATCCTAAAAGCCTGGTCATGTATTTGAACAAAGACCAGAGTCTTTTTTAAAGCAATATTTGGAATGTTTATTATAATACAATTTACATGCACATGTGTTTATTATAATACAATTTACATGCACATGTGTTTATTATAATACAATTTATATGTACAATATGTGTCAAGATATTAGGCATAAGTAGATGTTCAGGATATCTAAAGATACCAGTGATTACACCATGACAATCAATACACCATGTGTTTTTTACAAATTAATGTTAAAATTGCTGAATGTCATGTAATTGGAGAGAATAATATTTTTTACCAAAATATGCACTTTCACTAAATCTGTGCAATGACAGTGAAAGCAATAGTTTTATGAAGGTGGTGCTGTACAAACCTTAGAACTGACGTGATTAGATATAACCAAGATGACTCTTTGATTTATTGATTTGATTAGACTCTGATGGTAATGTGGTAATGAGGATGATGCTGAGCTGTGGGACATTGCCATTGTGATAAGAGGTCAACAGTCTTGGAAATGCATTCATCATGGTATTTGGACTCCTTTATGCCCTTGTTTTCAGCTTTGTGACAACTTGAGTTTGTCCAGAGGATATTCATGAATTTGGATGGACACAAGCTAAACAGAAAATTGTTGGTGGAAAGTAAGTTTCTTTGGATGGTCTGGTGTTACAGCTCAGGTTAAATGTTTACCAAAAAAACTGCATTGAGTCTTTATGCTCATGTTGGTTTTTGAAATTTTTGTTATCTTCATCCTAACATTTGAAATGGCATTTTAAAGGAGTTGGTTTTGCACTGTAAATTCTTGACTACACTTAGGGTGGGATGTTAGTGTTAAGATATTAAACCCCTCAACATGACTGAGGTACGACAGCACCACCATGTTTATATTGTCTAATTTTCCTGTGTCATGTAGGGCTGAGAGCACTTTGTTTTAGATTTGAGCTAATGGTGTTAAATAGCTAAGCTACAGTTGTGTTTTTCAGCAAAGCCCAAACTTTTCTTGACAGTATTTTTGTATAAACTGAATCTTTTCAATCAGTTGATATTTGGTAAAATTTAAAATTTTCCTTGTCTTACATTATTTAATGTTTTAATTTAATGTTTTGTCTGCTCAATTTGAATAATTGACAGGTTGTTCAAGTTGTGACTTCTGGTCCATTATGTCTTATCTACTTCTAAAGTGCTTTATTTGGTGGGGGCACAAATTTGGCCCATTTTTAAGTGGGTAAAATAACCTTGTCACTGCTTGAAGGTTAATGTTAATGTCAATAAATGTACCTGAAGCAGATTTTCTCACTTGTGTCTATAAATAAGTAGAAAGGTATTTGATTGACATGATCTATTCTGTCTCTGTCCAGTCAGTCTTTTCAAAATGGTAAAAGCAGCCAAAAACTGTAAAATATGT